ACCACTGTCAAATCGATCATTTCATATCATATTCAGATTGGGTCTATAGACTAATGTTAAAAAGAAAAATGTTAAACGACTAATATTAAATATCAATTAAATATTTTTCCATCTTATCTAAATATTAGTCTGTTTAATATTTTTCTTTTTAACATTTTTCGGCATATCCATTCAGATCATATTCCTTTCGAAAAGATATACAAATCATTTTGTATGACGCCATGAGAACTGCGAAACTATAGGGTATTCTGCAGGAATTGAATCCACTACACAAAATTTTTGATGTTTCGTGTACTTAATACAAAATCTCTTAGGTACTGTGAAAAAACCCTTTTTTTCGATAGTAGCTATTAGTCACCAAGTAGAAAAAAAATGAAATATATAATAATCGTACCATTCTCAATCATTATTTGTATCATATTTGCTTTTTCTGACATTGTATTAAAACATGATATTGTTGATTGAATTAGTGCACCAATTGTTTTCTCTTTATGTTGCTGGAAAAAGACAAAACAAAAAATTAGTATAAAATAGTAAATAAATAAATTCTAATTTGATTCTTACTGTTATTAAACTGAACATATTCTGTATTATCTTTGTTTTCTTAATATAATCTAAACATTGTATTTGTTCTAAATTAACTAATGTTTGTATGAAATGTAAGGTTATAACTGGAATTGGTTCTTCTTTTAGTAGAAGTCGATCAACTTGAATTAAAAATGCTTGTAACAATTCATTTCTGATATTTAATTGTAAATTTTTTGTTAAAACACAATCATTTGTCTGTAATTCATTTAATAGTTCATTTAATACACATAATGACAACACAATGAAATCATTAATTGTTGATGATAGATATGTGTTTAGTAATGGTAGTAAATCTGTTATGATTATCTCATTAAACAAATTTAATAGTTCACGAGCACGTACAAGAGAATCCAATGTTAATGATACACAAGAAATAATTTCGGTTAATGATGATGATGCTAAAATAGACAATAAATTAAAGAACGATCCATAAATGTTGTCTTTATTTCTGACAGTCAATACAGATATTTATCACAGATATCACGGACTATCTTTTGCTATATTTTAAAATATTTCTCTATTATTTAGAACGAGAAAATATGGAGAATAAAGTACATGTTTCTCAGAACTGAAAACAGAACTGTTTATATGAAAATAGACATTTCTCTCTAAAAATCATCCTAGATTTCTGAATTTCGATTTCATAACTGATTGACACACATTTAAATCTAAAAATAATGCCTTTTCTCTTGTCGATGGAATAAAATTTTCTCAGGGAAGAAAAAGAAATTAAGAAATTGCCTCGAATGATTGTGTTTAGACTTATGCCGTAGCTTTCAAACAGAAATAAATTCATCCACCTATACTGTGTGATTGCTAAGAAAAATATATCTTATGGAGCGACACTAGTACGAAAACTGCTAACGAGAAAAAAAATGGTGATTATCCATTCGTATACATTCTGAGATTTTTAGAAAACGTCTATAAATTCCAAGAACGAGATCATGCATCGCATTTTCGAAGGTTACAATTCTTAAAGTATCGATGGTTTCTCTAATCAATAGACATAAATGAATAAATTTTTAAGAGGGAAGATTCCTAACTGTCTCCTTGCTTTTGACCTCATATTTTGGTCACAAGGAGACCTTGATGATACTAGAAAAACCTAAAAGTATTTCGAACCCACAGGCCTTCGTTGTCGACCTATGACCAAATCATTGTCTAGGTAAGCTAAACTAACGCACCACTAATCATTTTACTTTTCAACTTCTATAAGAGTTGAGCCATGAAATCTTTTTCTGAAATAGAGGTAGTTATCGAGTGACTGTGTTAAAAGTTTCTGGCTAAATATACAACACACAAACATGAAATAAGAAAAGATAAGATTCTGATTAAGGAAGAAGCGTTTGAAGCAGAAGATTTGCCGACACTAACTACACTGGATGAAGGGGGAGTGAATTGCAGTCTTCTGTTGATATGAAGTTTCGTTGAGAGAAAAGCAGACTTGTTGGATAATCCGGAATTCGCCTGAATGATGGTCAACATATTCGCTGACAAACCACGCGTGTTGAATGAGTCTCTGGAAAATGGTCGTCGATATTTGCCTATGAACTAGTGAAATGAGTTGGAGTATGTTGTTCTGTTCGCTCATCGAAATGTACAACTGATCGAGCATGACTCTGTCGTACGCGTGTCGGACGATCAGTTTCCTCTGTCGGTTAAAGATCAATAGATGAAAAATTCGATATCTCAAGATCTACAGAGTCGATCGATCTGAAACTTTTAACACAGTCACTCGATAACCACCTCATATTTCAGAAAAAGATTTCATCGCTCAACTCTTTACAGAAGTTGAAAAGTAAAAAGATTACTGGTATGTTGTACAGTGGGCATTTTTCTATAGACCAGACGGACATGTGGTTTTTTAATTCAGAAAGAGACTATTTTGCTCAACAGTACTTTATTACGCTTGAAGTGTTATTATGAATTAAAAAACCGGAACTCGGAAAAAAAGTTTTTTAGACAAAAAATCCCTCGAGGGGACCCTTGCCCTAAATTTTTGCCGAAAAGCGTTTTTCCTCAAAAATGGCTCGTGGACATATCAGTCGACGCAGGTTTTCGTACGAAATCCGAATATATATCAATTGTTCAAGTAAAGTAATACATAAGAGTAGAAAAGTCCAAATTACCTAAAAAACAAAGGGTTTTCAGAAAGCCTGTAACTATCGGTAGAAAAAGTTGTGAGATTTTGTGAGTATACTAAAGATACAGGATATACTAAGGAACATTTTGGTGAGAAAATACGTAAGATTGCACCTCCGCTAACTCACGCGTTTTCATTATACTGTACACGTCTGTTTTCCTAGCGTTTTCCTGATATCACCGTGTTTTCTTTCTCGAATAATTTCATAAGGAAAAGTCACAGAATGAAAAAATTTACGCCATTCTATAGCGCATTTAACGCTGTACATTTGATACTATTTAAAGCGCAGAAAAGCTCACTTTCAATTTTCGACCAAATGTCCGCCTATATGTCCACTGTGCGGTAGTTTTGCTTATCTACACAACGACTTGGACATAGGTCGACAATGAAGCCCTGTGGGTCCGAAATACTTTTAGTTTTTTTTAGTCTCATCGAGGTCTACTTGTGACCAAAAGACGAGGCCAAAAGTAAGGAGGCAGTTGGAGACCTCATTAGTTCTTCTTCCCACTACAATATAGTATCATATTCATTTCAATATGAGAAGCATAACTATTGTCAGATATACGAAATGAAATAACAATAACAACTTACATTTTGTTAATTCAATATTAAGTTCAGCAATCATTTTAACATTTGTCATTAGTTTAAATAATTTTTTAATTGATGTTAAATTGACTATTCTACTTCGAATACACTAAAGTAAACGACAAAATGTCCACTGATTATCTTATCTATTCTGACACTTTTCATCAAGTGATAGACGTACCGAATTTCCAATAACAATAGACAACACTCTAAAATATGGCAGTAATCTTTTAAATGAATCTTTGACTGGTGATGGTTTTCGAGCACTTGTTTGTTCGGTTCCAGATAATAATTCGTCTGGTAAAAATTAATAAATGAAAAGAAAATTCATTAATAAAAGTGTTGATGATGAAGTATAAAAAACAAATTTATCAGCTGAAAGAAAAAAGTTATTACCTATTACAGTTCCAAATAAGGTTGATAACAATGTTGTTAATCGATTTAATGAATCATGTATTAGATCATTTTCATCTTTTTCAGGAAACGTTCGACGTACATCTCTTTCATACGCTTGAAACAATCTGAAAATATAACAGACATTATTTATAAGTGTTTTTTTATGTTACCACATCCATTCAGACTTACTTCGCTTCAGCTAATATAAATATACTTTCATTGTATGTAGTCAATATAATATTGGTTAAAGTATACGCTTTTGCACGAGTTAATACATGCGTGTTTTCATATAATATATTCATTTTTGGTAGTATATCCTCAAATAAAATACAGAAACTATATAAACAATGAACAAAGACCTTTTTCTAAAGTAATTCATACTTGAATAAATAATACACGATTTTTTGTTTTTTTAGCCAAAATAGCTAATAATGTGACAAAATATTGCAATACTTTTGGTGTCGATGTTTGAAACATATCTCCTTTTATTGTTACTTTATCAACAAGAGCTTGTAATACATCACCATAGGACAAACCCATGTGACATAAAGCCTAAAATAATGATCATTATTCATCACATAAATTTAATAGATCAGACTAGTACACCTACTAAAGTTAAAAAGAATTAGTTTTTATTATTACGAAATCATCAAGTCTTTCTGATTATCATGTGAAAAGTGTTTCTCTCAGCAAAAATCGCTTAAAGATCAAAAAAAGAACAAGCCTGACTTTTCATAAAGATGATACTTGAATTCTGGCTTGAATTCTGTCATTAACAATTTTATTGGATCAAGATGTTGCTAAGTTTTGTTGCCTGGGTGTTTTGTACCGTAGGAGAAAACAGGAATCATTACAATATGAAAGATGTCATAGAATAACTTTGCGCACTTCTATAACCTAGAAACAATTTCATTTTTACAGCAAAGATCTATGCTGATAAATCTTTGCTTTTGTTATTTTGCTAAGACTATAAAAAAAGTATAGTATATCTACTGTAACATCATCAACTATGAAATTATTTCTTTAGTTTTATTTTACTATTCTTCAACTTGAACACATGTCACAAAATTTTATATTTTTAAACTTTGTACTCCAATTCTCATCAGCCGAAGGGATGAAACATTTAACAAAAATGTGCAATTACTGAGATTGTGTTTCTAATAAAAAATTTAGATTTTTTTTTACTCTCAGGCATCGAAGAAAATACAGATTCAACGCGAAGTTTCAAAAATGGAAATATTTTCAAGAATTCAACGGTAGAGTTCATATTTCTTCGCCCTAAAGTTAGCCTCTAGAAGATCGCTCGACAGTTGGATAAAGACTTATATTCAGGACTGTCTGAAGTATTTGTCTTTTTTATTTTGTCAGCTTTTAAACTGACAGAACTACGTGAAGAAAGGTCTCAGCAGCGGAGTTTCATACTTTTTGCAGTTTTTTCATTGCGGAAGATTACATCTTATTTTCTGGATATTTAAAATCTATTCCAAGTCCTAATTTAAATCGGTACATAAACTATTAATGATCTCAACACGATGGAGTCTAAGAAAAAGTCAAAATATTTTGTAATTTTAATTTTCATTGATAAATTCCAGATCAAGTTTTCATTAAAAATAAAGTCGATACTCGTAATCAGCATCAAACAGAGATCTAATGATGTGTATTTAAGACTGCTGAAAGAGAAACATTTCCCTTGAACTTTCGCATGCAGATGGATCGTTAGGTGATCAAATCGTCTTATAATACGATCTCAATTAGTTTTTTTTTTGAAAACTATAACACAACATTAATTGTAAAATGAAATTATTTCTAGTGTTATGAGACAATTGCTTGAAAATGAAATTATACAGCAACATTTGATAAGAAATCAGCGGATAGTAAGAGAATCGATATTGTAAAAGACGCGAAGATCAATAGTTTATAATGCAACATATCACAAACATAAAAAGTTTATTATTTAATAATAACAAAGAAGACCAAATACATACGGCAAGAGCGGATGATCGCATATGTTCATTATTAGCAACCGTATTGTAAATTGTCCATAATGAGAGTGCAACTTCAGTTGTAGCAAATTTTTCCGACTGTTTATCGGATATAAAAAATAGATTTTCGATTATTTTACATGCTGCATGATGTATAGAAAAATCATCCTAAATAACATAGATTTATTATTGTGATCATTTTACAGATAGCGTAATAATACATACGCCTTCTTTCAAACATTTACTTATCAATTGATAAGTAAAGCCTGGTATCATCAAATTTTCGGATGCTGTATTCGCATCATCCTAAAAATGATGAAAACATGTTTTGGATATTTGTTAATACAACAAGGAGACTATATATATATATATATATATGTGTCCAAAACTAGAGTCTATCAACTTTACATCAAAATTCTAAATAGATGCTATATTTCAGTATTTCAAACCAATTGTATCTGCTCTGTGAAAGACATCTTACTAATTTAATAATCAATTTGTATCAAAATGATAATAAACTATCTATTGCAAGAGGATGCGTGAATTGCAGTGATTATTCATTTCTGTATTATTTTTTTATTCTTTGATATCAGTGAAACTTTGTGACATTTACCCTTATGCCAATGAATACCATTATTTCACCAGTTGCTTGTAATAGATATAATTTGAATTTTGTTTCCTTGGCATTTGCTCTCATTGCTTCTGTAAGTGATACAAGGATCTAAATATAGACAAGGAATGTTTCTAATTCTTCTTGTTCTTCTGTTATTATTAGAACAATTTTCACGCCAGTAAACTTATAAAATTTAGTCGAGTAGACTTACTCGGTTGATATTATGAGTAATTAGTTTAATTTTAAATAGAAAAAAAAAGTCTACGAAGAAAATGCGTTCAAATTTAGTAGAGCAAAAAATGAACTAGATCTAACTAACTAATGGTAATTGCAATTTTTATAAAAGATAAACTTCGTTTATAAGAAAAACACGATGATTAAATTTATGTTTGTTCAACAATGATATACACTGTGGAAAAAAAATGAATTGCAATGTTAACACGACGAGTGACAAGACAACATACGTTTAGCACTAAATACAGTTCCTATCAAGGATCTGTTAAAGTGACTTCTCTTGAGACATGAGTGAATTACTCACCTTTGACTCTCACGACATTATATCAGACATCTTTCGATTATCGAAGGACATTTTCGAGTTTAATTTATAGACAGTGCTATCGAAATCGAAACAGAGAAGAACACATTCAATGTGACACATTCCATTCGGAGTCAGGACACAAGTGATGTACTTCCTGCATGGACACTAGTCAATGAACATCCTCTATCGTCAAGCACTTGTTGTCAGAACAGATTTCAGGACATCTATCATGTGCCCATCCACAAACATTCACAGACATATCCTCATGCACAACACATTTCTGACGTAGCTTTTCAAAGTTGTTCTCTGATCTTATTTTCAATAGCCGATCATACATTATTGATCAAACATAGTTAATCACGAATTGCAGCTTTGTAAAGCTTAAAAAATATGTCTGTCACAATCAAAAGTGTATGTTACATCAACCTCTTGAACATTCTATATCTGGTAATGGATATGATGGAAGTTGGCATTCAATTAACTTGATAGGCAGTCTTATTTAGTAGAAAGGACGAAATATATTTGATGTTTGTAACTGAACTATACCGATCACGTTATTTTCCAAATAAAAATTGATTCTTGTCGACTCATTTATATATCACTATCCGCGTTAAGCCGCAGGAAATGACTCATGCTCTTGAATCGTTCTTTTTTTTTCGTCCTGCTAGAATCAGACAATCTTCCTTTCTCTATAAATAATTCGATATTTGTCTGTTAGTTCTTGCAGAAAAATGATTCTGACAATTTGTTCTTTTCTTCTTTTGTACTCATATATAATTTCGCTTTAGCAAAAATACTGCATTTTTAGGCATCTAACAACTCACTACAAGTTTTTCTCTTTTTTTTTTTTTTTGAACAAAAATCACCAGCATCATTCTTTTTATACATTTAGAGCAAATAATAGTTTATACCATCACCTTCAATGTGTAAAAGTAGTTACAAATGTGATGTACTAAAGTGTGAGTTTTTTTTTCTTCTTCTTTTATCCTCAATAGTGGACATAGAGTCTCGCCAAAATGTACAAATTTTTGATTTACGTAAACACTAATATCAATTGTTATATAAGTAAATGTCTTCTAATATCAAATAACGCTTTCTTTTTGTTTAGTGTAAAAAAAACTAAAAGGCTATTAGAAAAATTATTGTATTAATATAAGGAGACAGTTATTCATTCTATACGATTGACTTTTTCATGTTATTATTATGAACATGAATCCAAACATACCTCGGTAAGACCATTTTGAATTGTACATTCTTTTGCTTTAGCAAATATAATGCCCAAAACGCGTGCAGCTTTCATTTTACTAAAATAAAAATCATATATATTATTAGAATTTGAAATAAACACAAAACCTAATTATATTATTGTACATATTTTGTAAATTTGAGCGAATATGTCACATGAAAAATTATTATCATGACAATAGACGAATAGAGAGGAGGATGACACATGTCAAAATATTTAATTATTTCAACTAATATTCTACGAAACAAGGTCATAACTCTGAGAACTGTAATAATAGCTTTCTGTTGTTTGTTTATCTTATCTTTCGGAAGAGTACAACTCAATAAAGAGATTTATATTTTTAGAGTTGCTCTTTCATAGGAAAAAAACAATTTTCTTTGATACAAATTACTAAATCGCTTTTAAATTTATTTTTTTTCTACAGTCTAAGAGGAATGTAAAAAAAACTGAAAAGAAGACTTTAATTTTGTGTGTATAATACTAAACACAAATCAAACTATTGATCTCTTTTTTTTCTTCTTCTTCTTCTCTTTGCTTTATTCTAATCGATTGATTCGTTTTGATGAGATACATGATTACAAAAAACTATAAAAAAACGAATAAGAATTTATTTCTAATTGCTATTTTACCTTTTTTCATATCTTACAATCGAAATGTTGTAGAGTGATCTCAGTGTCAAAAATGTACACGCTAAATGACTATTAATCACTATAATCTTGTAAAAACATTTTTTTATACTTAATTTCTAGTATAACGTTGGATATTGTACTTTCTTTCCTCTATGTATCTCTGAACTCTCTCAAATTTTTGCAATTCTTACACTTTTCAATTTGTTAATATTAGATTATAGTCTAAAATTTTTTTATAAAAATCTTTCATTGATTAAACTTTCGGTTTAATAGAGATATTCTCTTCCATCTATTTGAATTTTTAATCATATTATGTTGATTTTAATATTGTTGACAATATTTAATGTTATTTTTGCTAATTTTAACCGTATCTAGAACTAATTCTGTATTTTTAAGGGTAAAAACTAATCATTTACGTTAGATCACAATATACGCATGCACATCGCATAAGTATAAGAAAGAAAAGAAACTTGTGATAATCCATGATAATAAATAACTATACAACGTTTATTTAGATGAAAATGTTGTTCTTCTCTTCTTCTTCTTCTTCTTCTTTTACATATATATTTTATTCCTTAATAAAATCAGCTTATATTAATTGGACTTAATAATATACACTGACTGATCTTACTTCTAGATTTTCTTTTTTCCATTAACATTGAATATATATTTTAGTATAATTTATTTTATTTTATCAATTTGTACAATACAGCAAAGAAAAGGTAATTTTAAAATTAGTTATTGAAATGAAAAAACAAAAACAAAAAAAAATTCTTAAAAAAAAAAAAAAATTGAATTATTCATACAAAAATATCATCATCTTTAAATGAAATATGACTGACTAGTATTCAATCTAACATCCTTCACGAATTATCTTGCTATTTTATTTAACAAAGATAATAAAAATATTCTCATCAGTTACTCGAAATTAGATAAAAATAAAAGTTTGAAATACACAAGAGTATTATTATTGATGTATTTTTAAAACAAGAAATAAGTATGTATTACTTGTTTTATTTTAGTTAATGACAACATTAAAAATAGCTCGTTTACCTCGTCGTGATTCTATGAAACATTTAAAATTATACGATTTAGATGATTTAGAAAAACATTCATTTAATAATGATAATGATTCTCAACATTCTTCTGACAGTTCACCATCATCATTAAATCATTTAATTTATAGTTTACCTCGAAAAGAGATATTAAATAATGTAAACAATGATAATCATACAACAATGTGTACAACGATAGTTTCATCAAAACAACAACGACAACGATTATTGGGTAGTTATGTACGATCAGAGAATATTAAAACTATTGTAAAAAATCAATCGGATAATGCTTATGATGATGAACAAAAGCAAACAGAAGAGAATGATGATAATGAAATCGATGAAGATAAATTTGAAGTGGCAGAAAAAGATAAAAGATGGTCAAGTGATTCAAGTTCGAGTTCAGATGAGAAAGAAGAAGAAGAAGAAAATGATAATAATGATGATAAATGGTTAGAGGTTATATCAAATGATAAAAATATTGAGGAAACAACTAATAATAAGACAAATAAAAATGAAATACGATATGGACTAGTTTAAAATTATATGACTCTTAAGGGGAAACGAAAAAAATATAAAATAAAAAATTCTGTTTTTTTTTTTTTTTTGTTTTTTTTGTTTTTTTCACTATTACTTTTTTTTATTTTTGTATATAAAACAGCTTTATTACTATTCAACGCAAAAAGCTTAAACATGATTGATTGATCATAGAGGAAATAATAAAAAAAAAATTAATATGTTTGTTTTTCGAAAAAGACAAAAAGAATAAAAAATGACTACTTTCCAAAATATTTTCTCGAACTATAAAATATTGTGTTTTTTTTTTTTAAGGAGAAACAAAAGGATATTATTTTACATTACATTAGAAGTTGTACTAAGTGCTAATGACATGATGATTATTCTACTCTTTAGTACTATCGATCAAATCATAAATTGAAGTCAAAATTATACAACAAAGACCTTTTTTTTTCATATACGATCATTATTTGGGTAAAACATTTGTATTAAGTAATGAAAGGAGGATTGAATAAGAAAAAAAATAACAACAACTATCTCTTTACTTACAATTCTAATGATGGTCCATGATTAATCATTGTCAATAAATCTTTATGAAATTCATTATTAATAAGTGTATCAGCAAAAAATGTTTGTTCAATACACATACAACCTATATAATTTAATAAATTTAATTTTGTACGAATTATATTTGCATTTTTTTCTTGTTGATTTTGATTTGATGTTAATTGTACACGAATAAGATTAACATGTTCAAGTAATTCAACAGATGATAAACGACTCAAATTTTCAACTAAAAAATAAAAAAATATTTAATATTATTTCTATTTTTAAATATTTATTTTATTATTACCTTTTCCACTTTGAAATGTTAATAATTTTGTTTCATATTTAAATGGTAATGTTTTTTGTATTTTTTGATTTTCAGCAATTTGTGTCAATTGTAATTCAGATTTTGAAAAAAGTATTTTTCTTAAACGATCTATATTATCATTAATAATTGCTGATGATTGCTCAACTGGTATTGTCTGATGTTGTTGATGTTTATCTTGTTGATGTATTTTTATTTCTGATTCATCTAATTTAACAGGATTAACTATTTGAATTGACGTTTTTGTACAACTAAAAAACACAAATATATATTAACAATTGTATTTTTGTTTTTCTCTTCTTTTTTACGGAATAGTTTTACCTTAGACTAAATGAAACATTTGATTCTGGACGATCAGTAGCTAAACGCGATGTTGATGGTCGATCTAATAAATAAAAATACCAATATTAGTACTAAATGTTTGATAGATCTATGCATGTACTAGATTTGAACAAAACATTGTTAACTACGTAAATACAAAGAAAATGGTGACTGTGTGCAGAGTAATTTTATATAATCGTAGTTTGATTCTAAGCTTAGGTTTATACAAACAATTAGTTAGATCACTTTCAGGTATAGAATAGCTTTTTCTAATGATTTTCACAAAATAAATAAATATTTAAAAGAGTTAATACGATCTAAAATTGTGTACAAACCTTGTAAATCGCTTGTCAAACTTTTGTTATTTGATATTGTTTTTGGTCGAATTAAATGTACAAGTTTTCCAGTCCAAAATGGATGTGTTAATACACCATACCAATCTAGTCTAAAAAATATGAGTAAAAAATTAGAATAAGACCTTAAAAAATCTATATAAATACCTTTTCGATGGATCTTTATTTAATAGAGCTTGTAATAAACTTGAAAATTCAATTGATGGCTTAATTAAACCTGCAATATTAAATGATCATGATGAATATTATAGTGGAATAGTAATCGATCAGATACCTCTTGCTGTTGGTAATACAAAACGATCATTGAGTATTTTTTGAGCTAATATTTTTGGATTACGTTCATCAAACAATTGTCGACCTGTATAAGTCACATAATTCATCAATTATTTTTAAATTAAATAATCATTAGTGAATTTTTTACCAGAAAACATTTCGTATAAAACACATCCCAATGACCATAAATCAGATGTTTGTGAATGATCAGCGCCTTTGAGTACTTCTGGTGCTGTGTAAGAATGAGTTTCTAAAAAAAATATATCAATAATTGATAAATAGTAGACGAAAAAGAGAAAAAGTAAATGATTACCCGGTTGTGCTTTTGGTCGATCTTTGCCTCGATAGACATCATCCAAATAATTATCATATGTTTCATCAAATATCGATTGTAAATTTTCACCTTTTATTTTTGATAATGTCATATTTGATAGTTTGAAACTATTTGAACCATCTGATACAACCTAGAGAAAAATAAAACTTTTATATATTACTAGTGAAATATGGTAGAGAATAGTGATTCTTCAACGATCCTCTTTGTTTTATTGCTAAATTTCTGACGAATCGAACTAACAACGACATAAATATCACTAAAAACTGAAAATGTAGAAAATGAGTTCTTTCATATTTCCTTAGCAGGTATACAAGTATTTTCTATAAACTGTCTTATTCCTTTAAGAATATCAATTGTTCAAAACTCTTCTACCTTTTCTGGATTCAGATCACAAAACAACATATCTTGTTGATGTAAATAATAAAGTCCTTGACAAATATCAGTACCAATTGAACGAATTGATTGTTCAGGCAAAGAACCATCAGCCACAATAATTGTTTTCAATGATCCACATAAAAAACAAATAAAAAAACAGCTACAAAAATCACGAGTGTAAAAGAAAGGCATACCATCACATAAATCCATAACAAGCCACAAATGATTTGTTGTCTCATACCATTCTCGAAATTTCATTATGTTTGGATGATCTAATTCATACATTAATCGAACCTAGAATAAAGCAATATGAGTTCAATAGTCTACTTGTAAACGAAATATTCAACATACCAAATTACTGAGTTCATGTCTCTTAAATTTTTCTACACAATAAATCATAACAAAATCAATTGAACGTTTAATACGGCCACGATACACAGTACAATAATCTTTTTTCAATATTTCATCGTAAATAAGAAAATTATCCATTATAAATCTAAAAATATATAGAAATACTCCAAATAGAAACGTTAACTCCTAAAACTAGGTTATTTCTGACATTGTTTTTTAGCTCTATTTCTCATACAGTTTTATGTTTCTGCAAATTGACATTGAGTATAACTGATTTCTAATCAACCATTCACACAAACAATAGGAGTGTGCCTACAAGGCAAATTGCTATAAAATAACACAACAAACTGAGGACCGACAATTCAATGACCGATGGCTATTAAAAAAGATGACTTCAATGGATGAGTAGAATTTAGAACAATTTGCACCCTGTCTATCTCTTGTCTTCAAAATTCGTTTCGATGACAGTTAACAAATGAAGAAAGCAAAAAAAGTTCGATGAACATCTTCATTGTTCGCCATCATTTTTAGTAATAGTACCTAATAGAAAGAAGAAGCACAACAAAAGTGAGCACAGCACTTCCGCGAATGGTCACTGTAGGATAAAAAGAAAGTCGAGTTCAATGGCAAAATTTTCTACCATGACGTGGACGTTACTACGCAACCACCAGAACATTTCCATATTACAAATTTATTGCTATATTTGAACTACATTACAAGTGGATTTTTAACCATAAATAATCAAAAAGGATGAAAAGATAAAGAATGCATGCTTTATGTTTAGAAACGTATATCGCTACAATCAATGAAAACTCAGGTTAATTGTGATATATGTGTAGGCTTAAGTGTTAGTTCGTAAGTACCTTCACGGCCAACAGAATTGTCGCAATAAGGTACAATCAGCAAGAGTTAAAACGCAAGGATCACCACAGTCAACGAACGCAACTTTTTTGACATTTTACGTTGATTGATTGAGCAGAGGATGTCCCAACTCTGTTCACAAATTTTCATTTATAGTTTTGTTTTAAACTTTTAAAATAAGTTGTTGTTAACTGGAAAAGTTGAAATGTCCACCAGTTGGCTATTGATATTGTCACGATGAAAATCAGAGGTAAGTAAGTCCGACCATTTCCAAGTCCAGATCTCTACGTTCAAGTTCATAGTGATTTCTGCACTATGCAGTAGGTAATTGTCGGTACCGGTACTTGCGTGGTACCGGTATCGAGCGCTTGATACCAACCATTGAAACCGTACCGAACGTACCGAGTCTTTCGGTACCAACTCGGTACCGGTACCGAAAGTACCGAAGGTTTTTTCATTATCTAAATATATTTTTGAACTCACAAGAAGCTTTTTCTCCTTCGCGAAGACTCTCGTCCCTTAATTTTTTTCGTTGGCATCGAACTTTCCCTGGTATCGAACCGAAAGTACCGAACGATTCGATACCTAACAGGGTACCGAACCAAAATACCGGTACCAAAGTATGGACAATTACCTACTATGCAGTAGGTCATAATCATATACGACGGGTAAATAAATTTAATCCACACATTAGATGCATGTTTGACAAGAAAAACATTAATAAATTAGATATCAAATTCTACCCATCCCGTTTTTGAATGTGATAGATTTTAACTGAGTGGACTTCAAATGAACTTGATAGAAAACTCCCCAAATCCAGTCAAGTCCAAGTTCGTCAAAAAACGCTTCAAGTCCGGACTTGGACTTGCCTATTTCTGATGAAAACACTCCTTTGTTATTATCCAGATATTTTCTATGTGCGAAGTACGCCGAGTTTTTATGCATAGTGATTCTTTTTCGTATGTTTTAGTTCGAGAATCTTATATTTGAGAAACATTCTACGTTTTTGTTGTGCACATTGTAATAGTTGTCAAAAGACATCTAAAAACCGATTAAGGAGAATATTATACTGTTTGGCGTAGTTATGCTTCTGCGTTGATTAATTAATAAATGTCATACGTTCGGTAAAAGGAAAATATATACAATATGTAAAATACCAATCAACAAGAAAATAGTCTGGTTACAAAAGCATACATTGTGATGTATTTCATGTCAATGTTATTGTTGTTTGTTTTGTTTACGTGTCATGAGCATATACGCAAAAGAAAATTTATTAATCAACTTACCAACAGCACCATCTTTCAACTATATCTTATTTTATCTACCATCAAACATGACTTCAAAATTTTGTTTCTATGCTTTAAGATTTATCAAGAGCCAATGGAGTCTGTGTACATTGTTGAGAAAAGTATTCAAGTTATATAGAATCGATGAGAAACGATGAACTAATAATCATCTTAAACTCGACGTAAAGCATACAGATTTATCTGTATTTACACTTAGCATTGTTGAGTGGAAAGTATAAATTTTCGTAGAAATTGACTTTAACTATAATGAGTATCGTTATCGAGAAGTGTCAGAATTGGTAGAGGACTAATGAAATAGTATTTTCATTTACCGATTAAATTATTAGAACAACGTTGGTAATACAAATCATGATCATCTATATCTACTATCGGTTGTTTAAATGGATATATTTTCATCGTACGAATATTGCTATGACAGATTTCAAGTAATTGAAACATTTTGGTATAGTTTAACATTTAAAACAGTTTAAGGGTACCCCCTTCCCCCCCCCCCTCTTTCTTTACCATCTTGGAAACCGGGGAAGCCGATGTTGGATCAGGAATAACGTGTTTTTCTATGAGTTTTCATCCAGTCACATTACGAACCCCCCCAAAAAATGGTCCAATCGAGTTCAAAATTTTACTACAGATACTTCAGATCCTATCTCAGGTTCGTTTTTTTTATTTTTGAAAATATGCTTTCTTTGTCGAGATATTCGGAAAATACTGAAAATCCCATATAAAAAACTGTTTTTTCACTTTGAAAACATTCTCATGCCGAAAGTTGAAATCGAAAACGCTTTAAAAAATGAATCTGAGATAGAGTCTGAAGTATCTGTGGTAAAATTTTGAGCTCGATCGGACCATTTTTTCGAGGGGTAGTAATGTGTGCCAATTGAAGGGACTATTTAAAAACGCATAGTGAGAAAAACACATATTGTACACATGGCTTTGGTTTTCAGGGCATTTGCGGCAATGCTTATATTTCTAAGAAAACTCATCAGAAAATTCCGGAAAACATCTATTTTTGAAGAGCACACTTTCTTCTATCATGCTATATATAAGAAAAAGCTTGAATATATAGAAAAGGAGAGAAAAATTTACGAACCTAAAAATTGAGATTTTCTAGGGTTAGAAGGAAAAAGTTAAAAGCTTCGTAATTTTTTCAAGGAAGGTCATGGAGAGCCGGAAGTGGTCTCATTTTATAGCCCAGACTTTCCTCTACATTAGACTATGTTCAGCTCAAAATGACAATTTTTTTGCAAATAAAGAGGGGGAGGGTATCCTTAAATCGGACAAAAACATAATTTAGATTAGAACTATTGAGCCAAGTTTATAAGAAAAAAAATTTTGTTTTTCAAACATTTGTACAAGAATTGTACTATAATCAAATTTTGGTCTGTAAAATGTAATCGTTTTTATTCATAGAAAAAAAATATATACGAGATGACAGATCAGCTGAAGAAAAAAATATGATAAATTATGTTAAATAGGACTATTAGAAATATGGACCGGTTTATAGAGAGAAAAACTGTTCGACTAGATGGATTAATAACGTTGACTATGTCAATCGTGGTAAGTGGAAATTAGGTCTTTATAAACATAACAAATATGAAAATATCCTTTCTTTTATATCAGTTCTGTATACGTTTTGTTTAAAATGCTTTAGTATAAGTTCCATAAAAGAGAAGCTATTGATTACTGCACTAATAACTAAGGGAAAGTTAGAAGGAATTTCAGACTCTCTGTATTGAAAGTCTAATGTTTTCTATGCATGTTTGCTTTTGACTTTTCCAGCTGTATCAACCGATTAACATTTTCATGATAAAATTGTACGAAGACGATTAGAATAATTAAGAAAAGACAAATTGTTTGACTTATTTCATATTCTTGTTATATTTCGCATATTTCGAAAAAAAACATAAAGCTGAAAAATTTGTATATAAAAGAAACAAGAACAAAATAAATAAACAAATATAAAAGACAAAAATATTCTCATTAGGAGTGACAAATTTACAAACTGAGTTACTCAGATCCAGCCTAGTACTCATATGTTAATAAAATCCTATCAGGTTTTCGTAAATGAGACAAACAGAAAAATAAAATTCTATGAAAAAAATATGAGTGTATAATGTTATAAAACAAAATAAAATAATATATTAAGATACGGTAGCAGCATGTTGAACAAAATATAGTTCTAAATTCTGTTCTGAGCATATTTATTTTTCTACTCATTCGACAAGCTTTCTTTTCTCTTATTGAGTATAGTGTGTGTGTGTGTGTACTAAAATGCTGGGAAAATGTTTTGTCTCCAGCTCGCCTCCTATACAGTTTTATCTTTTGATTCTCATTAAGCACGTATGATGATAGAACGATAGTTTTATTTAAACTTGGTCAAGTTATGGTTCTGTTACTTTATTAGTACCAGAACGTTTGAAGACTAGAGCAGAGTACATTGATGAAACACAAGGTTCCATAGAGGCGAAAAAAAGGCTTTTGAAAAATGTGAGATATAAATAAGATGCTGATTTCGTATGCTATCCATTAATGATAATAGATAATAATTCTCCTAGAACTTCTGCCTTGTCTCTAATAATGCATGCTCTGATGTCAGTACCGTTCTTCCTGCCATATGTCAAGATGTCCTCTGTTAATTTCCAATATACAATCTATTGTGAAACAGACTAAAAGTTTTTGTAGAATCCTGAGGCTTAAGAGTAAGATGAATAATAGAAGACGAGCTATACTTATTTATAAAGGAAAGGAAAGGTAATATCAAAATTCTATGTTCATTAAATAAAACTATTTTTTGTTGAATAAATGGCTTTTTTCTTTGACACTTTTCACTGAAGGTGTATCATCTTTTTTCATATCACTTTTTATATTTCCATTACTGACATTATCATGTGTTATTGTTGATGTTCGTTTTACTGTTGATGCGGCGGTAGAAGAGGGATCTGCTGAATTTTGTCCAACTCCAGCATAACTCTCTCGTCTCATTTTAACGAGCCCTTGTGTTGTTGCGCCAATGAACGCTGCCGATGGCATCTCTTTTTTCACGATAGGTTGTTCCTGTGTAACAATTGTACGTTTGATTTTCTTCTCGTAATCAGTAGGCGTTGATGTTGAAGAAGTATCTGTAGCAGATGTTTTAGATGGTTTTTGAGCTGGTTCATCTTTTGATTGTTGTCGTGTTGGCGGCAATCGTTCATTGACTTTATCTAACATTTTTGCTTTCGAAAATCTTTCTTTTGTTGAATGAGATTTTTCTCTTAGAATACTAGCTGCTTGTTCTGTATCGTGTTCAGTTGCTACTACCTCATCACCGTCTTTTGTTGTTGTATAATTAGTCGGTGCCAAACCTCGAAGTGTAACAACATTTTCACTTATTTCTCTCAACGATTGATAAGCTTTTGCTACTTTTCCTAGAGCTCGTATTTTATTTCGTATTTGTTCTTTTCGTTGTTCACGATTATTTTTTTCAATTAAACTATCAATCATTTGATCATGTTCGGCCAATTCTTCATCTGTACAAATGTTCAAAATATGTAGAAGAACATCGATTACCTTTTCACCTACAAATGGTAACGACCACGAAAATACATCGATAAAATTTGGTAACCAATATGGATGTGGTGAACAGTTAAACTGACGAATATTTACGATATTATTTTCATATTTCATAATAGCTGCTTTGTTTTGATAAACATCCAGGTAGTTCGGTGCACTAAATATTGTTATTAAACTGGGAAATCCTGTTTCTTGTGATTTCTTATACATTCGATATCCTACGTCTTGCGCCTCGTGGGCACGTATCACAGATAAAATATGATTACGTAACAGAAATTCATTTATAGCTTGATAGGTGTAAAAATAAGAACATCCACGAGTGGAATTGTGAAGAAAAAGTTTTTCATCTAAATTTGAACTTATTGATGTTGTAGATGATGTAGTAGATGATGTATTTGTTGTATTATTTAATGGAACGCTTGTGCGACGTTGTGACACATCTTTTTCATTGCCATAATCTTCAATCGGATCTGACCATAATAAATCACACATCGCTCCATATGGTGGAGGTTCGCGAAAACGTTCAATCTAAACAATAAAAATGGATATTAATTGTTGTATTAATATTTTTTACAGTCAATGCATACACTTTTAATATTTTTCTTATTCGCTTTAGTATATTTTCTTTTTTACGGAGAATTATCTTTATAAATTTAAAAGTAGAAAGAAAAACAACTTATTTTTCTCTTCAATTAAATGATAGGATTGACTATGAAATAATCAAAAATTTATTAGTTAATTAAAATATTTTATAAATCATTCATCGTTCATTTACCTTTCTAATATCGTCTAATGTATGAATTTCTGGTGATAAACCACCGTGTACACACAAAAATTGTTTATTCATTAAGGCCGCTAATGGTAAACAGTCAAATGCATTCATACATGCATCATAGATTTGTTCCGTATATTTTACTAAACATTCTTGTTTAAATCTAAAAAGAAATGAAACATAACTAAAAACTTATTTGAATTAATCTAATTTATAATTATACTTACGTAAAATAATCGGTTAAATGTCGACATTCATGATTTCCACGTAAGAGAAAAAATGTTTTAGGATAATGGATTTTTAATGACCATAAATATAATACACTAGAGAGAAAAAAAAATGAATTATAATTTGAGAAAGAAAGTATTTTTAATTTAAGAATTATCTTGTAAATTTTTTGTTTAATCAATAGTTAAATAAAAAAATGACCTTTTTCATGCGTACTAAATTAATCGAACGAGCAATTAGAAACGATGCTTAATATCATAATGAACAAATGCGCCACTAGTTTTTTTTTCTTTATCTTTTTGTTTCAATCAAACATTCAATTTTTCTCAAAGTATTTCTCATCTTTATGATCATTAGATAATTTTATCTTTCTCAGTTACAACTATCAAAATAACAAAAGAAAAAATTTATCTGATAAGATTAGTCAACCATTTGACATACCATTCAATACCAAAATAACCACGATCGACATAGTCTCCTAAAAATAAGTATCTGGTTGTTGCTGGTGAACCGCCGACATCAAATAATCTAAATAAAAAATATATATAAATTTTCGATTATTTCTTTAAATCTGTTTTGATTCTGTGAAAAATCTGTCAAAGGAAAACGATTGATATGTCATGTGTTAAGAGCAATTGTTGTTTTAAGATGAGCTAATAAAATGGTGGATCACAGAAGTAGACGAAAGATGACGGAGAAGTGAATTGGCGAAGGCATAAAGACTTGGTGACTACTCATTTTTCTGGTAGACAATGGGGAGTTCAAATCTCGGCTCGAACGCAAGTCTACTCGAGTCACATTTTTCTATAAATTTGACTGGAATTCAAGCTCGAGATAAAAGACTAAACTGACCTGAGTTACTTAATTCGAGTGAGTCATGTGGAACTCAGGATTATTGTGAAGATATTTCTTATATCCTGCGCGTTTGCATCGATTAAGTACATGGTTAATCAGCTGATCAGTTGTACTTAACCACGATTTTTATGTATAATTTTTTCACAGTTAATCGACCGATTTCAGCAAAAAACCATCGATAATCAAAAGAACGGGGGCGATTATCTGATGAAATCAGCCCATGCTTGAATTTCATCAACTAATCAAAGGCTAGATGTAGAATGAAGAGGAGAATATTTCTAGGAAGTTACTAGACCTTAGAACTACTCTCAGAAAAAAATTGGTCGAATCAAATTTG